TTTAGACTCTCACTTGTGAGTCAGTAAATAATGTCTGTGACAGAGTTATGAAAATATTAAGAGTCATTAGGATAGCAAAGTGCTTTCCTCACATTTTCAGACTCTTTAGTCTCATTTTAATTCTAGTTATAGTGAAGAGAGGAGAGCAAATTAAAGGGAGAGGAGGGTAGGACAAGATTGGGATATTTCAAATTGCTTTGCCTGGCTAAATATCAGATATGTATCCCTCTTAAAGGTTATCTACCTCATCCATAGAGTCCAGGTCCTGGGAATTGATGCCTGTTGGAGTTCCTGATGGGGAGTGGCTTTGCTGCACCAGGTCTGGTAGGTTTCCGTGGCCTGCGAAACCATTGCTCTCGCCGTGGCCCAAGCGTTGCCTCTCATTGGCCTATAGAGAACATCAAACGTAAGTCAAAAATGTGTGAAACATTTGAGAAGTCAGAGATAATAAGTCTTTTTTGGAGCTAAATAAATATCTAATGTGGCTGGCATTGGCGTCTCACCGCTCTCATTCTTAGGGTGCCATCCTTAGACTCATCGTTGTAGGAGTCACCGAAGGACTCATCTCGGCTGCTTGTGAAAGACTCATTATTTCCCTGAACAGAGGGCCTGAGGGAGACAAATACAGGAAGCTTAGGCTTAAATTCTACACAATCACATTAAAACAGAATCTTATTTCGGTGTTCATTTTATTAGTAGGATAAAGGGTGGAGAAGGGGATTAAAACAGTTGCAAGCCAGACTTGAACATGAACTGCCCCCATAAGCACCCTGACTCAACCTGTAAGAGTATGTGCCCTGATTGCTAAGGCACAGCTCTGACATAAAAGTTATTTTGAGGAACAAGAGAGAACTAAAGGTTTCCGCTTACATGATCCTGGGGATGTCACTGACTGACACCGTGCCATCATGCCCCACAGTACCATCCTCATCCTCGCTGCTCTCAGAGTCCTCACTGGAGGAGGAGTAGTCGGTCAGTTTAAGGGGCGGCCGGTTGATCTCATCTATTCGCAACTCCCTCAGTTCTTTAGCCAGGGCAGTCAGATCCTGAAAGAGAGAGAGAGAGAGATAATCATATAACTAGTAACACTGCTATCTTCAGTAGCTCAGTTGCTGCTAGTGACAATAGTTCAATGTTACATTACTGTTATTTTTCCTCAAACCATCAGGATTCGCTAAAATGAATTGGATTATAAGACTGTAACACTAGTCAGCACCAATAGCCTCATGGCACTTCGGGGGTCCCGAGTTCAAGTCCCGGCTAGCGGACCTTTCCTGATCCGATCTGAATCAGTCCATTTGATGGTACAAGAAAATGAACAAGTTCCAAAACGTTTCACTGATTCATCGGAGTAAGTTCACATAATTCCTATAGCTTTACTGAGGTTCAAAGGATTTATAACTGTGCTATAAAGCTCCAAATTTAAAGTATCTGCCCCAACACTGGTGATTAAAGTCATTAAAATGTAAAGTAAACACAGCAGGTGCTCAAGCTTTATTAGAGGTTTGCTCAAGTAGAAGAAGATTCAGTTGTAAAATTCTCACATATTCAGATATTTTCTCCTACACAGAAAAAAA